GCGGAATGGTGAACCTTACAAGAGAGTCAGCGCTCAAATCGCAACCCCAACTCCTAGGTTACTAACGGAGATATCCAAACTCAAGAATGCAGCCAACTGGACCCTAGAGGAAACGGCTGCCCTTGCCCATGCTGAGCTAGAGGTTGCCTCACCGCTGAGCATGGACGAGGACCTTCTTATTGACCACCTAGTGCAGCGATTTTCCTACGTCCTGCACTCTCAATTAAGAAGAAGAGAAAATCCGAAGCCTACAAGAATAAAATTGAGGACATCAGGAAGCTAAAGACAATGGCTTCCACGGTGACGGCTGGCCGTCATAGTCTCCGTCCTTCAAACTCTTACCAATAGCGACGAAAGGGCAGCGAGTCTGTCACCCATCCTCGAAGAAAATCGCAACGCGTTTCGAGGAGGTTGACGTTGGCTCCCGGTCTATCTTTACTAAACCGCGAATGATTGAACCACAAGATGAAACACCATTCGCTTCCCCTGCAGTCCCTGTTCCCCGTCAGCTGGACATGGACGCAACCCACTCTACTCGGAGGCCTTGCCCCAAATCAAGCGGAAATCCTCCTGCGAGTGTCTTCCAGAGACGCCTCTCTCCAACTTCTGCGGCAACCCATTACACCGCCCATGGTTGAAACCCGAAGCCCATCGCCCAGTCCGTCATGCTCTAGGAGGCTGATTGCGCCACCCAATGAAGCCAACGACGAGACTGATGAGGGCGCCTTCCTACCGGCCTTGACGCCGGCCAACAATCCCCTCGAGCCAAAGAAACGCCCCAGAGATAGTGAATCCTCTGGGCGTTCAATGAGCTCCATAAAAAGGTGGGCTAGACCCTCACCTCCTCCTCCTCCTCGGGCGAGGAGTTCATCACGGCTTCTGCTCCCCCAGCCCTAACCCGTCTCGGAGTAACAGAGCTAAACTAAACAATGTGGAGCCGAATTCCGTCACTCCAAAACCACGGCACCAACCTCCCTCTCCCATGGTACCGGTCCCGTCTCCTGAGGCGGTCGATGCCGGTTCCCATGATTGTTGGCTCTCCAACAGCTCCCTCACCACCAACCCCTAATGCTGCCTCCCCGAGTCCCGGTACGCCAGTCCGGGCACCGGGCAGTGGGATGGTAGAGACACTAAATGCTTCAGCTGCACCTCTTCCGGCCCAAAGTGCAACACTGCTTCCGGATGAGCCGGTACCTATAGCCATAAGCTCACCCACTCCATCCTCACCGCCAACCCCTGAGGTAAGAAGTGGCCCAATCCCATGTCCGGCAACGCTCCCACCTCCCAAAGTGGTCGAGCCAACACCTGGACCCTCCACTCAATTCATCCAACCACCGGATTATTCTCATATGAATGACAATGATAGGATGGAAGCAATATTGAACGAGTTGAGCTCCCTGAGGAGATCATCAACCATCCTCAAGGATAAATCAGAAGAATCAAAAGACAAGAGCAAACCTAGGGAAAACATTCCAATCCGCCTCGGCCGCACCTGCAGCTGTGCAACGATCCGTGGAGGAAATGACTGACCTCCTCGAAGAATGGATTCCCGATGGAACTCACCCCTTGGCCCACTAATAGCCTCTCTGGGAGAGACATGAATATCGCTCCTAGGCCTATTCAAAATAAGAGGAACGATAATCCAAAAACAGGAATGAGTAAATTCCAATTGGGTTGGTTGATAATTTACCAAAAATTTAAAACCAGCTCTACGATCCCTGAATACATCTTGGAAAGAAAACTTAAGTCTTTCCTTAGGTGTTCTTCGAGGATAAGCTACCTGTGAGCTGCGGTCGCCTATTAATGAATTTACACTCAGCCTTAGAAGGCGACCTTCGCGGAGGCAGGAGGCGTGGACCCTTCAACCACTCCCAATGGCGGTTCTCCGCCACAACTAATTGTGCCACCAACCCCCAAACTAATGCTTGACCTGGCTGAATTGAGCAGGAACAACACTGACCCATGGGTCAACATGATGCTGCTATAATAAATTTAGCGTAAGTAATTACCCCCGCCGTGAGAAGGCCCCATCCTATCGGGATGCCATCAAGAAATGGGGTAGAAAGATTTTGGTAGGTTAGCTCGCGGAATTATCACTGATGATTTGGCGAGTCTTATAACTCAGGCCTACCACTGAATTCGTTGAACCATGGCAGCGAATCTTCCAGGGGCCAAGCGCCCCGGATGACCGTGTGATCGTCCCTAAAAACTCCTCAGATACCCTAGCTCACCTGCTTGAGCCCATTACGACTGAGGAAGTGTTAAAAGCGATGCCGTCGCGCACGGCAGGCCCGATCCACTTGGATGGACTGGAGGCCGATTTCGCCATGTCGACGCGACTATGCTGATGCACAGCTACAATAAAACATTTTGGAGGGTTATGACCCTTCAGACCCATCTGTGCGCTCCCTATTACGTGGGAAAAACTACATTCATTCCCAAGGTCTGCTCACCTGCCAAATTTGGTGATTCCCGCCTATAACTGTGCTTCCCTACGCCACCTGCGTCTTCCATAGGATCCTGGCGAGACGCCTTTCTACTGGGGTGGGCAGAAGGGATCCGACAGGTCGATGGGTGTCGGAAAACACAATGGTCCTCTCTTCGGCATTCACCACGCCCGGATGACCAAAACTAACTCCACGCTTTCGTGATTGATATATGGAAAGCCTTTGAGACGGTTTCGCACCAATCGAAGGGTAGCTCTTGTAAGGGTGGCAATACCTCAAAGATATTGATATTATCATCACAACACTTGGTAGAAATTACCAGGTCAGAAATGACTAAGACAGGGAAAGTTCTACATTTATCTGTTGACACAACCGCATTGAAAGACATGCAACTTGTTGATTGTACCCTACGTATAGCCTCTGCAGGAAAAGTACGATTCCAAGACCCTCGGAAGGCGACAATTGAACAACCTGAGCAAGAAACAGAAGATGAGGACAAAGAGGAGCTTCAGAGTCAGAACCCGAGTGGAATATGTGATAATTCCACTAGCGACCATCTAGCCACCAAAGAGAGCACAAATACCATCTCGAATAAGGGCGCTGAAGTAGAAGGAGATACCGGTAATACTGACACAAACACTGGTGGAGTATCGAATGAGGACACTGGGAAAGAAGATAATACTGACAGCAACACAACAACGGCCACATCATCCCAAGAAGGTAAATTAAAATTAAATTTTAAACAAAAACGAGGTCCAAAAAAGCAGTCAAAGATCGATCATTTCTTTGAGGAAGCAGCCGAAATCCTTCTTGGCCAGTCACAACCTTCGAAGGTAAATAAAAACAACTAATGATAAGTTGCACATATATTAATACGCAGCACTGCAAAGCAGCAAACTCAGAGCTAAAGTTAAGAACTTCTGCTATTGCATTAATAACTGAACCATATCTCTGTAATGGCTCAACAAAAAGCCTTGCATTAAGTGGGTATACTATCCATAGTAAACACGGATCTAGCCCGAGAGCCTGCATTCGAACTGTAAACCATTTGAATGCATGGTCAATTCCAGAATTTTCTGAAAAGGACGTTTGTACAATATGTATAAAAATAGACGAGTCCTTAACATATATTAGTGTTGCTTATCTTGATCAACAACTACCTGTAGAAAATGAAACACTGCTTAATCTCATTAAGCACTGTGAAAGTAAACAAGTACCACTTTTACTCACTATGGACTCTAATGCTCATAATCGCCTATGGGCTAGTAAGCATACTGACACAAGGGGAGAAAATCTAGAGAAAATCATAGATGAAAATAACCTTGTTGTTATTAACGAAGGAAATGAACCAACATTTCTCACCCAACGAGCAAGTTCAACCATAGACATTACTATGTTAAATCATCATGCCTTTAAAAAATTTGAAGTCTCAGGATGGCATGTAGACCTTAGACCATCTATGTCAGACCATAGATATATAGTTTTCAACTTTGGTAGATATAAACCTATCACCGAAAAATCAAGAAACTTGAGGAAAACTAACTGGGACATGTTTAGGAACCACACAGATGCGGCAACTCTACCTAAAATACTTCCCTCCCCTAGTATCATTGACCAATGTGCAGAATCATTATATGAGGTCATAAATAAGGCGATACAAATTGCTTGTCCTTTAAGAAGCACGATAAAATCTAAGTCAGTACCTTGGTGGACAAAGCATCTTGCTACTTTGAGGCACAAACTCAGAAAATTGGAACCCAAACGGATGCAAGCTTCCCATAGAGAAAAATATTTACTTGCTAAAAGTGAATATCGGACGGCTCTTAGAAATGAACAAAAAGATTCTTGGAGAAAATTCTGTAGTAATGCTGAAGGTCCCAAAGACATTGCAAGATTAATCAGGGTTCAAAAACCAATAGACAACCCAATTGGTCTCTTAAAAACGGATCGTGGTTATGCACAGTCACCTGCTGAATCTCTAAAAATTCTCATGGAAACTCACTTCCCTGACTGCAAAATCGGCGTAACTTTTGAAAGACCATCACAAACTAATAATTTCGGGATTGATTATTTGAACTATGACAAAGTGAGGGAAGCTTTGAACTCCTTCGGAGCACATAAAAGTCCAGGACCCGACGGACTTAAACCAATTATATTACAACACCTAGGAGAAAATATGACATGCTACATTACTGATCTTTATAAAGTTATTCTTAGCACTGGATATACACCGAAGAAATGGCGTGAAATGAAGGTTGTATTTTTGCCTAAACCAGGCAAAGATGATTACAGCTCCGCTAAATCTTTTAGACCTATCAGCCTTTCCAATTACATCCTCAAAGGCTTAGAAAGAATAGTACAATGGAAAGTAGAAAAAGTAATTCCATCTTTTCATTCTCAACATGCCTACACAAAAGGCTTTTCTACAGAGACGGCACTATCACAAGTAACTGATATTATCGAAAAATCGATATATCAGCATCAGTGTACACTTGCTGTCAGTTTTGATTGTACCGGTGCATTTGATAATATTCAATTTCATTCTGCCAACAAAGCAATGTCGAAACTTGGAATTCCAGTGAGCATCACATCCTGGTATAAAGACCTCATCAAAACTAGGATGGTGAAGGCAGAAATAAAAGGAGAAAGGGTCTGCATCACCCCAACGCGTGGAAGTCCTCAAGGAGGAGTACTTTCGCCTGTGATCTGGAATGCCGTGATGGACACTCTACTTACAAAGTTCCACAAAGGTGCAATCAAAGCAATTGGCTATGCAGATGACATTATCTTATTAATAAGTGGAAAACACCCACAAACACTTGTCAGTAAAATGCAAGATGCAATAAATATTGTACTGGACTGGGGAAGATCAAATGGCTTGACCTTTAATCCAACAAAATCTAGTGCTATAGTATTCTCAAAGGCATATAAACTGAGGTCAAAATATTTTCCACGGTTACAAATGGATGGACAGGAGATTGAGTATTCAACACGCTTGAAATACTTAGGTTTGGTATTTGATCAAGGACTCACCTGGACAGAACATCTGAAGGAAAAAGCTGCCAAGTGCTCTCGCTTATGGAACATGGCAAAAGCAATCATAGGTCAAAAGTGGGGACTGACGTCTGATAAAGTTATCTGGCTCTACGAATCAATGATTAAACCAATCATATGTTATGGTTGTCTTGTATGGGGCCATACTATTGCATCCAAAAAAGTGGAATCAAAATACTAACCAGTGTACAAAGGAAAGCACTTTTATCAATCACTCAAACACTAAGGTCAACACCTACCGCAGGCATGGAGTCAGCTTTAGGTATTATTCCACTCGACCTATACGTACAAGCACAGGCAACAAAGTCCAGATGGAGAACAAAGCATTTTACACAAGATACTTGGGATGGCATTGGCAACCTCCCACGACGGCGTGGACACCGCTTTTCTAGTGATAAACTGCTTTGTGAAGCAAATATAAATGGGCCTAGTGATTACATAAAAGGTGACCTAGTCTGGATAAATAATAATCGTATAGAATGTCCGGATACAATAATCTATACTGACGGTTCTAAAGACCAAGACGGAAATACGGGCGCAGGATGGGCTATCACTAGGGGTGACATGACTCTACATCATTCACTGGCGTCATTAAAAATCGAGGCATCAGTATTTCAGGCTGAGGTCCTCGCCATTTCAAGATCTGTGGAAGACCTTCTGAAACTGGAAAAACCTACTAGGAATATTGTTGTACGATCCGACTCTCAATCGGCAATTGCGGCTCTCCTCAATCCACTCACGAAGAGCTGCATAGTCAAAGAATGTAAAGAAACTTTGATAAGAGCAAAAAAGGAGAAAAACATATACCTTGAATGGTGTAAAGGTCACAGTGACATAACTGGAAA